AGTTTTAAGCCATTGAGATCCTAGAAGATGCTTGATACGACTTCAATTTTCTAGAAATTGTTGAGCCTTGTTTTGTGTCCTACCATGTGGTCTATCTTTGAAAATGTTCCATGCGCATTTGAAAAGAATGTATATTTTGCTTCTTTGGGATGAAAGATTCTGTGTATATCAATTAAGTCCATATGATCTAAAGTGTTGTTCAATGCCACAATATCTTTGTTGATTCTTTGCTTGGAAGATCCATCCATTGTTTATAATGGGGTGTTACAATCCCCTACTATGAGTGTGTTGCTGTTGATATCTTTCTTGAAGTCTTCTAAGGTTTTCTTTTTATATTTGGGTGCTCCTATGTTGGTTGCATATATGTTCACTAGGGTTATATCTTCTTGATAGACTATTCCTTAAGTATTATGAAGTGTCTCTCTTTGCCTCTTTTTGTGGCCTTTGTTTTGATATCTATTTTGTCTGGTATTAGTATTGCTACCTCAGCTTTTATGTCATGTCTCTTTGCTTGGAATATTTTTTTCCATCCCTTCACTTTCAGCCTGTGTAGATCTTTTGTTCTGAGGTGGGTCTCTTGTAGACAACATGTATATGTGTCGTGTTTTCTTATCTATTCAGCTACCTTATATCTTTTGATTGGAGCATTTATTCCATTTACATTTAAGGTTATTATTGATATGTACATATTCATTGCCATCTTTTTTTTACCTTTGTACCTGTGTTCCTCTCTCTCTCTCTCTCCACCCTAAAACAGTCCCTTTAGCATCTTTTGCAGTACTGGCTTGGTGGAGATGTATTCTTTAATCCTTTTTTTTTTTTTGTCTGGGAAACTCCTTATTTAGTCTTCCATTTTAAATGAGGGCCTTGCTGTGTAGAGTAGTCTTGATTGCAGGCCTTTGCTTATAATTACTTGGAATATTTCTTGCCATTCCCTTCTGGCTTGTAGTGTTTCTGCTGAGTAATCAGCTGAAAGCCTTATCAGAGCTCCCTTGTATATTACTAGCTGTTTCTCCTTTGCTGCCTTTAAGATTCTCTCTCTGTCTTTGAGTTTAGCCATTTTAATTATGCTGTGTCTTGGAGGGGGCCTATTTGGGTTAATCTTAATTGGGACCCTGTGTGCCTCCTGGGCTTGTGTAACTTTTTCACTCATCATAATAGGGAAGTTTTCTGTCATAACTTTTCCAAACACATTTTCTACCCTTTGCTCCTCCTCTTCTTCTGGTATCCCTATGATACTGATATTATCAGGTTTCACTTTGTCCTGCAGTTTCCTTAAGCTGTTTTGCTATTTTTGAGTTTTTTTCATTTTGTTTCTCTGGGAGTTTTTTTTCTGCCTTGTCCTTCAGGTCACTGATTTGGTCCTCTGCTTCTTCTAGCATTCTTTTAATTCCTTCTAATGTATTTTTCACTTCAGATACTGCATTCTTCATTTCCTCCTGGCTCTTATGGGTAGTTTCTATGTCCTTTTTCATCCTGGCTTAGTTCACAGTAAAGTTCCTTGTACTTTCTCTGGAGGTCTTTGTAGTTCTCGCTGAGCTCATTGAGCATCCTTATAACTATCATTTTGAACTCGATGTCTGATAGTTTTCTTGACTCAGTTTCATTTAGAGGTCTTTCTGGGGATTCCTCCTTCCCTTTTGATTGGGAGTTGCTTCTTTGTTTCCTCATTTGAGGTGACTCTTCTGTTTGTTTCTGTGTCTTAAATTGATCTGCCCGATACCCTGTCTTCGTGGTGTGATCTCCTGTTGTAGGAGACCCGTGGGATTCAGGGGTGCAGTCTTCTTGATCTTTGAACTTGAGGTTCTTGGGTTGCCCTCTCTGGTTGTAATTGGGTTTTGGTTGTTGTTGGATTGTCTTTGGGGAGTCCTTCCCTCCAGATGGCTGACTGAGAGGCACTCTACCCACTGTGCCTTGTATGCTGTTGCACAGGTGCTGCCAGAACAAAGCCCAACAGCCTAGGAAACAAACCTACACCTGCAAAAATAACCCCCACCCACAATCACACTATCAACAGCAAATGAACCAGTATTAATAAAGGTATAAAGAGATTAAAATTATTGTATGAAAGGAAAAATGAATATGAGATGACTAATGGAAAGAAAAGTAATTTTGAGAGGATAGAGAGAGGAGCAATAGTACGAGTAGCAAATAAAGACAAGGTGAAGAGAAAGAAAGTAAAGTTTACATTGTAAATAAAAAAGGGAGGGAAGAAGACAGAATGGAATAAGAGAAGGGAAGCATATAGTATTAGGTTTAAAAAGAAATTTTAAAAAAATACAGGGAGAGATAGAAAAAATAGGGACCAAATTGAAGAAAACCATCCACCACAGCACTTTCAACAACAAGTGAGCAAAGATTAATATAGGTGGTATGAGAAATAAGAGGGGAAAAAAAGAAAGAAAGAAAAGCTTAAGAAATGTCTGTAGGAAAGAGAAGTGATTTTTGAGAGGAGAGAGGAAGAAGGAATACTAAGAATGAGGAATGAAAACCAGGCTAAGACAGGGAAATATGAAAATTTAAAACAACAAAAAAAGAAAGGGCAGGAGGAAGGCAAAATGGACTAGGAGGGGGAAGAGTAAAATTTGCATTTCAAAATACAAAAATAGTGAAGATCTGGAGATAAAATTGAAGAAATGCATCAAGAAAATGAGCAAAATTGATGAAGGAGAGAGAGTAAGGGCATTTTAAGAATGGGAAAGAGAATGTGATATGACTAATGAGAAGAAAAATGGTTTTGAGAGGTAGGAGGGGGTGAAGGAGTAAGAGTGTGGAGTGAAATCAAGTCATAGCAAGAGAGATAATAAAAATTAAAATGAAAATAAGAAGAGGAAAGAAGATGGTAAAATGGAATAAGAGAAGGGAGGAGCAACATATGAGATTTGAAATAAACTATAAAATAAAAATTAGTTACATAATATGCAATAAAAACTTGAAGGATAAGAAAAGAATGTTAAAAAGCTATGGAAGAAAAAAACATAACACAAGTCATGAATAATACTATGGTGGAATTCCTTTCTGTAGCATCTAGTGTTTACCACTGTCTTCTCTTTCTGAACCTGCCCCTGGTGATGTCATATGGTTTCCCAGCCTGGCCCTAGGCAGTGTATTTGAGACTACTAGGGATCCACAGTCTATGGCTGAGTTTTTCAGTTGTTAATCTGTTCAATCTGTAATCAGCAGTCAAGTTTAAGCCCCACAGTCTGGGGCAGAGTCATTCCTGTGGGGAGGGCTATTGCTTCCCCTCAAGCTGATGCCAGTTGGAGGGGAGTGCTCTGCTTGAGAAAGATGGCTCCTGCAGTTTGGAGGATGATTCAGTACTGGGATCCTGGCGGCTGTTCCCTCAGTTCTCCTCCCAAAACCACCATACTCAGACTCTCCTCAAGCATCTGTAGTCTACTCTGTCCCCCTTTTGCCAAAGTATAGGGTACATGGCTGAAAATGAAATTATGTGCATTGACCCTTTAAAAGTCTCTCTGTGACTCCACCTATATCTCCCTGGCAGACAGAAACCCCACCACTTTTCACAGCTGGATGTTCTCTGGGTTCTTTTCCTGGCTCTGGTACTGCTCGCTCAGAAGCCCAGGTTGGGGTTCAGAACCCACATTTCTCAGGGGGAACCCCCCAGCTGCTGAAGTTTCCCTCTGGCACCTCAGCTGTTGCCTGTGAGAGCCCAGCCAGCCGTTTTGCTTCTCCTCTGCACTCAGTACCAGTCAAGTTGTGGTGAAATGGTTTCTTCTGTCTGTCTGTGGTTGTAAGGCTTCTCTCCAGCTATTGTTCAGTTGGTTATCTGGATGATTTTTCTACAATTTAGCTCCAGTTCTAGATTGGTCCTGGGAGGAGATCAGTGCAGCCTCTACTTAATCCTCTGTCATCTTGGATCTAATCCTCTGTGGAAAACTTCTATGACCCTAAGTCAGAACTATTATAGGCTTAAGGGCTCAAATAAATGTGACCGACTTATGGGTATTGTGCCTATAGACTGGTTATAGTATAAGCCAAAGGTAAAGCCATTGGTCATTTGATTTACCTATTCAGACTGAAGTTTGTGACCATTCTTTCCAATTATACCAGAGGCTAGTTTTGTGGTATCTTGTTTTGGGATGAGAGAGAAGAACAGATGACAACTGCCCACAAAGAACTCAGCTTATAAACAAGGAATTAATTAAATTAGATTCTCAGTTATTAAAAAAAGGAAGATACCATATGAAGGTATGAATTTCCACCTTCTCTTGAAAATTCAGGAGATCTGGTGAATATTTGACTACATTGATGGATATTCACTATTGGCTAAAGCGGAGTAGCTGGTGCCATCTTTAGAAGGGAGCAAAGGCTTTCCTGGTATGATACAGTCATACCACTCACTATTTTCTCCTTAATTCCATATTCTCAGCCTGCTTCACTAATTTGATGTTACCTGTATAGCTCATAAAATTTGCATCCCATTTTAGACCATCCTTGTGACTGTGCAGGGATGGGCAAAAAGTTAGGTGTACAATTGTGAGTGTGCAAAACACAGAGCTTATTGTATTATTATTATTATTGTCTTATTTTTCATATGACCAGCTGTGAACCTACTTTTGCCTACATCTGTATATACATACCTACATATGTACTATTACTTGTAATATATAAAATACACATATATTTTCTTTCTGATAGGCTAAGTTGAAAAAACCCCAGCAGAGAGGTAAGTTTATGCTCTCCTTTCTTCTATTTGCAGGGAAGGCACTTTTCTAGACTATCAGATTTTATCTCAGGGGCATATAAACCTTATAGGGTCAGCATATTTATAAAGCTACTACAGTGCACCCTTGAACAATGTGGGGGTTAGGCACACCAACTCCCTGCTCAGTTGAAAATCCATGTATAACTTTTGACTATATTTTTTTGAAAAAAATACGCATGTAACTGGGCCCACTCAGTTTGAAACCACCATATAAACTGTAAGTAAGCTGTATGTGGTTAGTTCTTAGTGCCTTTTAAAATAACCTTGATATGCGTGGGTTTGGGTTTATGGCAGGCCTATCCCTCTGGGTCTCTCATAGAGTCCCATGCCAGAGCAAACTGTGGCCTTGAACCATTGCCTGGCCTCTGCCCATAGGCTGCAGGCACTGAAGTGGTTTACACAGTGGAAAAAAAATTAAAAGTAACCTTTATATTATAGAAAACTTAAACATATACAGAAAAATAGAAAGGATAGTATAAGAACTTCTAAGTACCCATTACCCAGCTTCAACAATTATCAACTGTGCTCATCTTTCTTAACTCTTTCCCCAGGACTGTTTTGAAGCATATCACAGATATACAATTTAATCCATAAATTTTCAATATATACCTCTAAAAGACATATGCTGTTCACATATATATATATGTTTATATATACACATACACATCATACTATATAACATGCACACACATAAATACAATTATATGAAATATATATAATCACACCAAATAACAATAATTCCTTACTATCAAATATCCAGTTAGTTTTTAATTTGTTTATTTTATTATCACCTTTTTTTTCCCCTTAAATTTTTTTTGTTTGAAGAAAGCAGATTGTTTTCCTGTATTTTGCTGGTTGCTTTTCCATGGTATAGTAAAATACATTCTTCTGTTTTCTGTAATTCCTATAAATGATTGGGTATATCTAGAAGCTTGATGAAATTTGGGCTCATGCTTTTTTTTTTCCTAACACTGTTTCAAAAGTGGTTTTATGTATTCCTATTGAGGGATATAATATCTGATTTTCTTTGTTTTTGTGATGTTAGCGTCCATTAAGCAACGTACATGATTCAGGTTTAAATAATGATTCAAAATAAGAATAGAATTGCCAAAAAGAAAGGAATTTAGAGGAGGAAAAAGTAATTTAAGACTAAACTGATTAGGGAAAAATTTATGGCAATAGAGGTATTTAAGATAGATCTTGAAGAATGGGAATGACTATGGTAAAAGAATGTGATATATTAGCTAGTTTAGGCTAAGTTAAATAGTGATAATAAATGATGCCAAAATTCCAGGGGTTAACAACAACAAAGATTTATTTCTTGTTTCAGTACATGTCCACTGTGGATCAGTAGTTGTTTTGTTTCACATATTTATGTCAGGACCCAGGCTGATGGAGTAGCTTCTATCTGGAAGATAGAGGAAAAAAGACCATATTGGAGTCAAACAATTGTTCTTGTTAAAGCTTCTGGTTGGAAATGGCTCATGTCAGTTCTGCTCACAATTCTGTTCAGTATTATAGACTGACAGAGTGGGAGGTATAATCTTGCCATAGGGCAAGGCAGCAAGTTTTTAAAAGAATGCTGCACCCTATTCCAGGAAAGACTATTCTGTGTGAGAAGGAAAAGGGTATTCTGGATAGAAAGAAGCACAAATGCATGCAGTATATTTGGGAGTAAGAAGACCCACTTTTCAGGAATAGAATAGGTATAGGTAGAAGATAAAAATAGTTCTGGGTAGAAGAGTAGAGACTATCAAAGCTACAGAAGGAGGGTGCAGTAAACTTTAAATTCTAAACTTATATTCAGCTAACCTTCTCTTCCATTGGAGGCTAGACTTTGGCATGGAAAGCTCTAGCTCAGTGATCCACATTTGTAATTTTAAATTTACTAGGAGCTACACTAAAATGTAAAAAAAGGGAATTAATTTTAATGTATTTTCACTTAATATGTTAAATATAACATTCTGTTATATTTGCCTTATTCTTTATTGTATTTTCAGCTCTCTGAAGAAGTGATGAGGAATTCTATAGCAGTTTATTGTTAGGGTGGAAGTGGTGATTTGGTTTTGTACCTTGGTCTACCAAAAATAAAGCATTTTTGGATAACAATGGAAGGGTAATTATCTGTAAGCAACCATGGAGCTGAATACTGTTCTTCCTCTCATTTTAGAGATCCTAGGTTAATAAAAAAAAATGTGCAGCCTCTTCTTAAGAGGACTGCAAGAGAAATATGAGCAATCTGAGGAGAGTCAGATTTTAGAGCAAGGTGTTAATGGGAACATTTAACAAAGAGTATAGGAGCATTGGAGAGAGTTTATGAGAATTGCAGTCCTAGAGATCACATTAGTATTAGGAGGGAGGGTGACATAGGGAGCTAGACTGGTTGCAGATAGATTAGACAGGTATAAGGAAGGTAAGTGATGAGGAGACAGTGGAGGGTTTGTACCAAAGTTACGCTGAGAGAATCCTAAGGGATTCATAAGGGATCATTGGGATAAAAGACAGTTTTGGAAGGTGGGCAGAAAGAATTCGGTTGAAGTGAACTGTTCTGATTTCCACATTGATGAGAAGTAGTTTAAGTGCTATTGTGCACTGAAGCACAATAAGCAGAGGCCTCTGGACAGACTGGCTTTTTTTGTGGCCATTACCTTAGATGAATAAAAAATTAGATGAGAGCTGGAACTGGAAGATTTAAATGAGAAAGGTGCAGAACAGGTGATGACAATGGATACATATCAAAGTAAAGATCTATAGTTCTTGATAACTAGATGTGATGAGAAAAGGGAGGTCGCTTTATCAACATTTATTCAGTGCTCAGTATTTATTAGCAACCGTATATGCATTTTATTTAAATCTTACAAAATCCTGTAAGGTAAGTGAGATGAATTTCTATTTTTATAGACATGGAAACTTAAGTTCAGAAAGGTCATAATACCTTGCTTAAGCTAACACAACTACTAATAAGTAGAAATAGGAGTAATCCAAATCTAGTTGACGCCAAAATCCTTTGTTATTCCTTCCATATGATATATTTTCAAGAGGAGAGAAAAAGGGATCAAAAAAGATTGCATTTTTAAACTTGGAGATTCATTGACATAAATGGAAGAATCAAAGGAGGAAATGGTTTTACTGTGGAAAGAATAGGTTTATTTGAGATAATAATAGGATATCCATGTGGATGCAGTGAGGGTGCAGTTAGAAGTTTGAGACTTGATACTGAGAGAGCCAGGAGAGGAGATAAAAGCAGTGAAAGTTTATGCGGTTGAATACATATGTATAGATATATATTGTCTAATGAGTAAGTTGAATATAAAAATTAATCATTTATTTAAAGATTTTGAAAAATCAGAGTATATAAAATTTCTGAATAGTATGAAGTTTACAATGTATTCATTTCTAGATTAGATTTGGTCATATATGCAAACATATTAAAAATTATTTGTATAGCTATATTGAAAACAATGATATAGATATAAAATTGTATATATATTTTTAAAATATATAAAAAGACTAACATCTTACAATGGGAATTTATGTTATATTGGCTCTAATAACATTGCATGAAGGCTTTTGGATTCAAAACATTAATAATGATGATTTTAATATACCATATAATATTGTTTTATAAATGAAAGGTTATTGTATATAAATATTGCAGTCATATAATAGTCTGGATTAGATAGTGTACTAAATCTTCCTGGCTTTGTTGGGAGTTTCATTTGTAGATTTTTAAACAAATGTTTATTGAAAGCTTGCCTTGTCCTAAACATTTTTTATATATGTTATTTCATTTAATTTTTAAGTGACCCTGTTATATTTGAGAATTTTTTATAGTGAAGAAGATATAACTTTAATATGATATGTCAGTGATGATAATCTTACCATTTTTATAGCACCTTAGAACATACAGAACATTTTTATATACATAATTCTTATTTGTACAAGAGCCATTGTGCTAGACATGTGCTATATGTTACAGAATTCTGAAACTTATTTAATCTTTACAGATCTACTGTGAGGAAGGTATTATTATCATCATTTTTATAATGAGAAATTTGAGACTCATGTAGTTAAATAGCTTGGCCAAGGTTACATGCCTAATAAGTGACAGATCACTGATTTAAGTACATATAATTTAAGCCATTGCAGTTAGTACCTCTATCAGCCTAGGCCTTGAAAAAAAAATGCAGTAGGTAAAAGAAATAAAATGTGAAAAACACGTCATCTTCACATTGGTGTTGCATATATTTTAGTGATTAGCTCCATCGTAGAAGTGATACCAATATTTGATACTTATTTTTAATTTGTTTGGATTGTTTTACAAAATTGCTTTAAAATCCACTATGTCTAGAGGTAGGGGATCTCTAGCTATTACCCAATTCCTCACCCTCTAATTATATCATGCAATTATTCTTTTAGAAAAGAAAGAAATAGAAAATTATATTATTGAAGGCATAACCCAGGAAAGAATGAAAACATGTCTTGGTTTTCAGGTGCTCTCTTGTATTTTTATGTTATTCAACTACTGTAAGATCTATGCTTTCTGTGAGGAGATAATATTGTGAAGAGATAATATGAGTATTTTGGGGCTTTTTGGAGCATTTCAGGATAACAGAGCAGATTAGAATAACATTTTATATTTGTACTTCTCATTTTTGAAGAGCAAAGTTATAAACATATAGTTTGTTGATTTTTCTTTTTTCTTTTTTAATCAGTAAAGGAACATCTCTTGATTTACAACAAAGGAGACTTGTTCTTCAGATAAGTGCCCAGATGTGGAATTGCTGGGTCATGTGGTAGTTCTATTTTAAGTTTTTAGAGGAACCTCCATACTGTTTTCCATAGTGGCTGCACCAATTTTTAATCCTGTCAACAGTGGACCTAGAGGGTATTATGCTAAGTGAAATAAGGTAGAGATAAATACCTATGATTTCACTTATATGTGGAATTTAAAAAATAAAATAAATAAAACAAAAACAAACTCATGGATACAGAGAAAAAATTGATGGTTACCAGATGGGAGGGGGTTGGGGGATGGGTGGAAAAGGTGAAAGGGATTAAGAAGTACAAATTGCCAGTTATAAAAATAGTCATGGGGATATAAAGTACAGCACAGGGAATACAGTCAATAATATTGTAATAACTATATATGGTGCCAGGTGGGTACTAGACTTACCAGGGTGATTAGTTCAGAAGGTTTATAAGTGTCTAATTGGCATTTCATACATCTGAAACTAATGTAATATTGTATGTCAACAATAACTGAAAAATAAATTTAATAAAAGGGGGGATTTCTAAATGGTCTAAATAGAGGCAGTTCATTGATGTCACTTTTGGATTTGTTTGAGCAAGTCCTAAAGTTGTGAGAAGATATCTGTCCTTTGTTTGTTGTGAGGAGAAGAAAC